CCTCCCAGGCGGCGGCCGCCTTGCGGAAGGCCTCGTGCCGCCGGATGAGCTGCTCCACCTCATCCACGCTGTTGCCCAGCTCCTGGCTCTTGAGCAGCGGCTCCTGCGCCGTGAGCCACGCGTCGGCCACCACGGCCTCCTGCGCGAACTGGTGCACCTCCAGCACTGCCGGGAGAGCGCGCCGCGTGGGCACGGGGCCCACGGAGCGCCCCGGGACGGGGCGGCCAGGTCCCCCCGGCCGTGGGGACGTTGGGATGGGGGCGGCCTCCAGGGACTGCGCCTGAATGGGGTGGCAGGGTCTCCCATCCATGGGAACACTGGGATGGAGATGAGGGCCTTGGACTGCTCCGAACCAGGGCCCAGGGTCCCTCCATCCATGGGGACGTCAGGATGGGGACGTGTCCCATGGACCACTCCAAACCAGGGTGCCAAGGTCCCTCCATCCATGGGGACATCAGGATGGGGACGTGTCCCATGGACCACTCCAAACCAGGGCGCCAGGGTCCCTCCATCCATGGGGACGTCAGGATGGGGCCTTATTCCATGGACCACCTCCCCTCCCGGCGCTGCCAGACTCACTCTGCTGCAGCCATTCCCAGTGCTGGTCCCACTTCTCTGTCATCTCCTTCTTCTTGGCCACCAGCTTCTCCACGTGGGCTTTGATCTGCAGGCAGCGAGGACGGCAGCGGGTGAGCGGGTCCCCACGGGCCACCCCGTCCCCATGACCGTCCCTGCGCGGGCACCTCGTCGGCTGCAGGGCTCTTGGCCAACACCAGGTTCTTGCCCAGCTCCAGGCAGGCGGCGATGCTCTTGCCGCGTGCTTCGATCTCGCTCTTGAGGCTTTGGTGGTAGCTCATGAGCACCTCCACGGAGGAGACATCCCTGCGGGTGGGGAGGGAGCCTGTGACACCGGGTGGTGGCAGCCGGTGGCCTCCGGGGCCGCGTTGTCCCACCTGGGCTTCTCGCTGGTGCCGATCTGGCAGATGATGCCGTCCATCCAGGAGATGAGGTCCCGCGCGGTGCCGGTGAAGCGGATCTTGTCGGCGGCCGAGGCCACGTGCAGGCGACACTCCTCGCACGAGGCCAGCAGCTCCTTCCAGGCGCGCAGCACCTCCTGCTCGCGCGCGGCGATGGCCTCCGCGTTCTCGCCCGCGTAGACTGTCCGCAGCTGCGCTGCCCCCTCCTGCAGCTGCCGCACCTGGGGGGACGCCGGTGTCACCACCATGGCACTGCTGTGGCCACCGCCACCATCTCTCCACCATCGCCATCCCTTCACCAGCACCATCACCACTGTCATCCCGCCTTCACCATCACCACCATCTCACCATCACCATTACCATCAGCATCACCACCACCATCTCTCCACCATCATCACCACCATCTCCACCACCATCACCACCACCATCACCACCATCCTCAA